GCTCCGTGTGGGTGGCTTGACTTGGAGGTTGGGCCCTCAGGTGATCAAATAACGCTGATTCCAACAAAACGAGAACCGTGCTTGGCTCCTCCTAGAGCAACCGACCCCTCGCCCAACAATCAGGGTACTACCGTGGCCTGGATAGCCTCCCCGTGGATTCAACCTCCTGGTATCCTTGTTCTCGGGTCGGCTCGCAAGAGTCCAATACCTGGAACTCCCCGTCTTGGTTACAGTACCCTGGATCCTGGAGTTGGCCCTCGAGCTCGTGATCCTCGGGTACCCCTCGGATTGTGGATGCCATGACAATGGACACTCTAACAATCCTACCATTGCATAACGACTGTGTTTGAAATGCGTAAAACATGTTCTAAAAATGTGTCACACATGTTTTTACATGTTTCAGGACTGTTTGAAACATGTTTTAGACATCTTCAAATTATTTGGCGGCATGCTTCCTAGGGTCCCCTCGGGCATCATCCTAGCAGCGCTCCACGCATGCCCACGGTCCGTCGCCATCCAGAAGGCTCGAGTGACCGTGGGTTGCTGAAAACGCTCCTTCCTCCCCGAGACCACCATGTCCGACGGCCGACGCCAGCCGTGGGTCACAAGCATCAAGAATATGATGATGGCCGTGACGGAGATCGTAAGCGTCAGACTTACGGGTACAACAGTGGAGGCGACCGCTACCAATCGAAGGCCCCCGGGGAAGAATGAAGATCACAACGACTGGGGCCATGACCGAGACCGCCGTCGCAGCCCTGAAACCGACGGGATGTGCGAGGCACCCGTGAAGTACATGGCTGCCGCGACTACCGTGACGTCCAAGACTGCTGTGAGCACCGTGGTCGCAGTCCCGAGCGCCGCAGAGGACCCGACCGCGCGTCCCGCAGCAAGGGATCAGGCGGTGGTGGCAGCGGGCGCTCGAGGTCGAGCTCACGGCGTCGGGAGGTGGAGCGCCGCCGCGACGCCCTCGCTGAGCTTGACCCCGAGTACCAGGCGTGCAAGAGGGACAAGAAGGATCGGGCGGAGGAGGTGATGCTTCGCGAACAAGAGGAGTACCAGGCCCAGGCGATGAAGTCAACCCTCGGAGATAAGATCACCAAGGCCGTGGAGGCGGCCCGCTCGAACAAGGACGTAAGCACGAAGGTGGACACGGAGCGCGAAGCCAGCCCCACGCCAGTGGCTGCCCCCCCCCCGCCCGACTCGAAGGTCCTCCTGAAGCGTCCCGAGGTCGGCTGGCTCCAGTCCCGAGGTGGGACCCGAGCGGTGCAGCGGGGCGGTGCAGCGGAGACGCTCGAGCATGCACTGGGGAACAAAGCAGTGGTGGGCATGGTCAGCAAGTGTATCCAGTCCCGCTTGCCGAAGGAGGCCATACCAGCTTCGAGGCAGAAGAGAGTGTCCCTCACCTTGGACATCATCAATGGCGATGTGCTCTGAGGTGGCATCGACACTAGAGCAGGTGCTGCTGATTCAGATGAGGACGATGAAGATTTGGTACCGACAGCTCAACTGCAGTTTCAATGGATGTTCCTATCATTTGTAAGTGGTTTCTTCTTGGCGTGTGCTATCTGGCTCCTGACCCCTGTCAACAAGAGGGGTATGGTCCAGGTGGTAAAGGCCTACCTCACCCTCAACCTCACGCATACGCGTGAGGCAGGCTTTGTGCAATTCCTCTCCCACACACTGTCTCTTCCATTTTCTTTGTGAACGATCAGGAACAGGCCGTGCTCAGACATACGTATGTTGACAGGTATTGCAGGTGCAGCGATACCAGTACTGGCAGGACAGTTGCCAAGTACCAGTGCCCCCTCGTACGTTCCCCGTGTGGGTTGTTACTGTCACCAGAGAGCCCCTAAGAGGCTCAGGCCAGAATGTGACGCGTCTTCCTGGGAAGTCGGCCTTGCTCGATCCAGGGACGTTGAGTTTGGCCTGCTCCACCTCCCTCGTCCACATTCCTCTCCTCCGTCCGTCCCCCGTTCTGTTTGGGTGATCACCTAGGTTCGTTTCAGTGTGAAGTTGATGGCATGACGACCATCACTTGTGACTCAGGCTTGTGGGCACCAGGGTGCGAGGCTGTGTGCAGCAACGCGGAGATACAGGCCAGAGATTGTTTTCCCTTGCATGCGATGAGGCTACCGTGGTGCCCTCCTCTGTCCCTCTTCCCCATCGGAGCGGATCCGACAACGTGAGCTTGGAGGGCTTGAGCTTCCGCGAGGCCGCGCGGAGTTTGATGGGGTTCTCTCTCTCTCTCTCTCTCTCATTCTTTATTTACCAACCCACCGATATCATCCGATCCATCCTTAACATGCGTTCCGTTTATCTCTCACGCACCCGACGCTTTTTGTTCGGCTGAAGCCGCATTGGGGAAGATCAGACCCCACGGAGTGCTCACAGGCCTCGATCTTGAATCCTCCCCGCACTGCGGGAACCCAGTGGCAGCGAACCCCTGGTGAGATTGGAAAAGCTACACATTCGGAGGACTCTCTCTCTCTCTCTCAATCGGATGGATGCTAGAAGAGACTCTGAGCCGTGCGGACTGATCCTGGATCGGATCGCCAGCTCCATGCCCAGACGTATGCGGAACGGACGCAGCAAGGGCGCCGTCCAAAGTTGGCCGCTGGCAAACAGCAGCCTTCGACTGCAGCACGCCCACCCCTGCAGCCAACGCTCCCTGGGGGCACCCACCACCGCGCAGAAACTGCCAGCAGTCCCGACCGACCCCGCAAACGATTCGGACCGAACCCACGACGGGACATACCCACACACTATCTCCTCCAAGGCCTGCGGTGAAGCAACCTCAGATCAGCTGAGACGAAGACGGCCCTCCCGCCCAACCCAGGTCCGCTATAAAGTCGGCCCCTGGACGACCCGGGTCCGCCCTGCCCCGGTGTTCAGAGGCGGGGGGGAAAAACGGCGAGGTAAACGCCTCCTCCTCCTCCTCCTCCTCCTCCTCCTCCTCCTCCTCCTCCTCCTCCTCCTCCTCCTCCTCCTCCTCCTCCTCCTCCTCCTCTGGCCGTGGCGACGAGGAAGACGCCATGGAGGGCCGCCGTCATCTCGGCGGGCCCTCCCCCGACTCGCAGCGCGGTGAGCGCGGGCCGACTCCCTCCGCACGCTGCCGTGCCCCCCTTGCGAGACCTCCGCCTCCCGCGGGTCACGGCTGGGACGGCCCGATCCACCCATGGGGGCCTCTGGATAGTTACTCCAGACTTCGTGATGAAAGGGAGGGGGTCTGGACCCTCCAAGACAAGCCATTTCAGACCTCCCCCATGGGGGAACCCTCCAAAACATCGTCCCCAGACCCCCCAGGCCCTCCAAGATAGCCTGGAAGAGACCCCCCCCCGAGATGAGACCCCCCTCCTTTTTTGTTACGAAATCTGGAGTACGCGTCAGGTTCGTGCCGTGCCGACTTCGGCGCTGGTCCCTGACGCCGCGGGGACCGTTCTGACCTTGAAGGATCGGCCGCTTCCGAAACGTCCGAATCGTTCCACGTCGAACGATTCTGGGTCGCCCGCGGCGTTCAAGGTTGAGCGCCGCTGGCGGGGTCGCCGTCGGTCGACACGATACGAACCTGCCGTACCCCCAGCGAGGAGAGCACAGGGGCCCTGAATGTTTGGGGCATCCCTCGAGATCTTGACCACAACAAAACGCGCCCCAAGACAGGTCCAGGCACCCCAAGCCCGGTCCAAGGGTCAGGTCGGGCATGTCCTCCTCCAGGTGGGTTTTGGAGGACAGAAAAAAATCAACTAATACTCAAAATATTTGAAAAATCGTCCCCAGACTTTTCTTTATACTCCTCCTCTAGAGGGACATGCCCGACTTAATCCAAGGGCCCATTTGGAATAAGGAGGCTGGTCCCGACCCCCGAACGCGCCAAAAAGCAGAGATTGCCAGAGGAGGCCCGGCCCAGGGTGCCCCAAGCGTTAGGTCGGGCACGTCCTCCTACAGGCGGATTTTGAGGAAATCGAAAAACAAAAAGTGCTCCTACTTAGTCAAAAAATAATCGAAAAAGTGCCCCCTTACTATTTCTTCTTATTTTTGAATATTCCTCCTGTCCAGGAACACGCCCGACATAACCCAAGCGTTCCGCGCCACTTCGGACTTCCTGGCGCCCCCTGGGCCTCGAGAAGGGTGCCCTGGAGGCCATCTGGGCCCCTCTAGGGCCAGGGCCACCTCCAGGATGAGCCAGCGTCGAATAAGTGGATAATCGGATCGAGCCGAGATGTGCTTCGGATCGGGCTACATCGGCACGGAGTCGAAGTCGAATCGGATGGCTGCCCCAGGACGCACACCAACGACATGCAAGCATCGGGCCGCATCTGATCGTCGAACCAATATCGAAATGGATCGACGATCGAATCGAAATAGACCGTGACCTCTGGCAACGCACGACAAAAAGACTTCAAAAGTCAGAAACTCCAGAAACCCCGGAGGCCCTCCCACGTGCGACACTGCTCCAGCGACCTCCGGCCTCGAAGCCCTGTCGGCAGCTCCGCGCATGCAGGCGGAGAGAGCCCCCCAGAGAGAATCCTCCCCCACGCCAACCCTCCCCTCCAGCCCAAGACCGCCCACGGCGACATCACAACCGAAAGCGAGCGAACCCACAGCGAGACCGAAACCAGCCGAAGCCGACAGGCCGCAGGCAGCCCAGAATGGCGCGGCGGCGCGGCAACGACACAACCACGGGCCGAACCGAACGGACCGAACGCAACCGACTGCGACGCCGCCGACCCCGCCGTGTCGAGCCCTGTCCGCAACGAGCCCCCTCCTGGAGCGAGCTCCTTCCCCCGAGGTCTCCGATCTGGCCGCCCGCCCACGGCCCTGGAGCGAGGCGAGGGGGTCGTCGCGGAAGGGGTCGAACGGCGGTCGGTCAGGCCGCCCAGGAGAATCGAGAAGGAGGAGGAAGGGGGAGGATTTGTTTTGTTCATGTGCCATCCCTTGAAACTACGAGTATGACGGATGAATGAAGAAGAAGCCACGGCCGGAAGCACGGTGCGAGCCGCTCAGATCATCCTGAAGGCGATGCAGGGCAGAAACAGGGAGATAGGGAGATGGGGAGGAGGAAGGGGGAGGAGGAAGGGGGAGGAGGAGGAGGAGGAGGAGGAGGAGGAGGAGGAGGAGGAGGAGGAGGAGGAGGAGGAGGAGGAGGAGGAGGAGGAAGGGGGAGGAGGTGGAGGAGGAGTGCACACCCCTCAGGAGAGGTCCGAACCGAGTCGGCGAATCGAGTCGGGCCGGAGCGGGCGTCGAGGCGGGCCGCGTCGGCACGGAGGCCAATCGGCTCGGCCGCACTGGGATGCCCAGCGATGCCACGCAAGCCAGCGTCGGGTCGCATCGGACCACCGGCATGTCGGAGCCGAATCGGATCGTGCTGGCAGGAAGCGACATCGAATCGAGCCGATCGAATCGAGATGGACCCTGAAGGGGTCGGTCTGCTAGGGCCGAGGAGGCACAGGACTCGAGGTTGGGGGACTCGGCTTTGCCTAGAGGAGCCGTCAGGACACGGACAGGGCCGAGCCTGAAATTTGAGCCGAGCTCCCGCTGCGAACATCTCATAACAACTGACTGCCAAAATTCACGCCAGGGCTGCCAACGAGCGGTGGCAGACCCGAGACGGGCAGACTTGAGTCTCCCGCTTCCCCGCTTGAACATCGCTCCACGGATCCCTTTCCACCCTGGCGTGGCCTGGGCGCCCCCGGCAGACTTGCTCCCCCAGCTGGAGATGGGGACGGGGCTGGGGATGGGGATCGGCTGAACGATGCCGAGTCTCGCGCTTCCCCGGCAGGAGGTCGCTCAGGCCGCCGCTGCCCCGGCCCGCCCCCCGGAAGCCTGTCGGCGCTCAGCGCGTCCGCGGGCGAGCCCTCCGAGCCGGTGACGGCCCTCCTGAGGCCCTGCGGGTGTGGGGGGGGCGCCCGCGAGGCGGACGGGCGCGGGTCGGCTTCGTCGGCGGTGCAAGGAGGGGGCCCTGAGGGCTGGGGCCCCAAGCGGGGAAGGTTCAGCGTGTGATCCATTTCCCTTGGGGCCCCCTTTGATTTCCTTAAGATTCTGGGAGGCCGATTTCGGCCTGCGTACGTAAGGCGGGCGTGTGGGGTCGCTTGGAGCGCGTAAGAAGTCGATGTTGGCATCCGACATACACATGCATCTGAGCACGCCCGACTAAGTTTAGAGTGGTCGTTTTTGGTACTGTCGTTTTGAGTAGGGTCGCTTTGGTATGTATGCCCAAACGAGTTTAGAGCGATGGTGTCCTGAACCGAACGCAGAGGAACCCGAAACTTCCCATCCTCGCCCCCATCTTTGAGCCGCTGACTTTGGGCCCGTGGAACGCACGACCGCTGCAGCTCCGCGTCTGGCCGCCGCGCCCACCCCAAGCTCCCACACCGTGCTCGCGGTCTTCGTTGCCACCCTCACCGTCGTCGGCGGCTCCTCGCCGGCGTCGTCGGCGACGCCAGCACCGGCGTTGGAGTCGGCGTCGGCGTCGGCACCGGCGTCCGCCTCGGCGTCGGCGTCGGCGTTGGCGTCGGCAGCGTCGAGGTCGTCGTCGTCGTCGTTATCGCCGGCGTCGGCGTGGGCGTCGGCGTCGGCGTCGGCAGCGTCGGTAGCGTCGGCAGCGTTGTCGGCATCGTCGGCGTCGTCGTCGTCGTCGTCGTCGCCGTCGGCGTCGGCGTCGGCGTCGTCGTCGTCGGCTCGGCGGCGGCGGCGGCGTCGGCGTCGGCGGCGGCGTCACGTCGTCGTCGTCGTCGGCATCGGCGTTGTCGTCGTCGTCGTCGGCACCGGCGTCGGCCTCGGCGTCGGCGTCGGCGTCGGCGACGGCAGCGTCGGACACCGTCTTCGTCGTCGCCGTCGCGTCGCCGTCGTCGTCGGCGTCGGCGTCGGCGTCGGCAGCGTCAGAAGAGTCGACGGCGTTGTCGTCGTCGGCGCCGGCGTCGGCATCGTCGTTGTCGTCGTCGCCGTCGTCGTCGTCGTCGTCGTCGTCGCCGGCATCGTCGGCATCGGCGTCGGCAGCTTCGGCAGCGTCGTCGGCATCATCGTCGTCGTCATCGCCGGCGTCGGCGTCGGCGTCGGCGCCGTCGTCGTCGCTGGTGTCGGCGTCGGAATTGTCGGCGTCGGCGTCGTCATCGGAATTGTCGGCGTCGGCGTCGTCGTCGTCGCTGGTGTCGGCGTCGGCGTCGGCGTCGGCGTCGGCGTCGGGAGCGTCGTCGGCATCGTCGTCGTCGTCGGCGTCGGGGTCATCGTCGTCGTCGTCGTCGGCGCCGGCGCCGGCATGGGCGTCGGCGTCGGCGTCGGCGTCGGTAGCGTCGGGAGCGCCGTCGGCACGGTCGTCGTCGTCGTCGTCGTCGCTGGCGTCGGCGTCGGCGTCAGCGTCGGCAGCGTCGGGAGCGACGTCGGCGTCGTCGACGTCGGCATGGGCGTCGTCGTCGTCGTCGCTGGCGTCGGCGTCGGCGTCGGCGTCGGCGTCGGCGTCGGCAGCGTCGGGAGCGTCGGCGGCGTTGTCGTCGTCGCGTTGGCGTCGGCGTCATCGTTGTCGTCGTCGCCGCCGTCGTCGTCGCCGCCGTCGTCGGCGTCGGCCTCGGCGTCGGCGTCGTCGTCGGCGTCGGCAGCGTCGGGAGCCTCCCTCGTCGGCATCATCGTCGTCGTCATCGCCTGCGTCGGCGTCGGCGTCGGCGTCGGCGTCGGCGGGAGCGTCGGCGGCGTTGTCGGCGTCGTCGTCGTCGGCGTTGGCGTCGGCATCGTCGTTGTCGTCGTGGCCGCCGTCGTCGTCGTCGTCGTCGCCGGCGTCGGCGTCGGCGTTGGCGTCAACGTCGTCGTCGTCGTCGTCGGCGTCGGCGTCGGCGTCGCCGTCGGCGTCGTCGGCGTCGACATCGTCGGCGTCATCATCGTCGGCGTCGGCCTCGGCGGAGGCGTCGGCGTCGGCCTCGGCGGAGGCGTCTCGCCAAAAGGGCGGCGGCATCGGGGGCGCGGCGGGGCGCCTCTATGATCGCCTCGCGCTGCCTACCCGCGGGGCGCTCCGGGCGCCAGGGCGGTCCGGGCGGGTGGGCGGGGGCGGAGGGAGGGCCTGAGGAGGATGAGGAGGAGGAGGAGGAGGAGGAGGAGGGGAAGGAGGAGGAGGAGGAGGAGGAGGAGCAGGAGAGATGTCCCCTCGGATCCTGATACCAACAGCGACAGCAACAGGAGGAGGTCCAGAGGAAGGGGAGGAGGAGGAGGAGGCTGCAGGCTGAAAGTGAGTCAGCGACTGCACACAGACACTGCTCGACCTCCGCAAATGCGGAAAAGCGGTACAGGGTACAAGAGCTGCCCCTTGGCGTCGGACGACTCGCGGCCCAACCGAACCGACATTGGTGCATAGGGGGCACGAGGCCACCCTGTCGGCACGATTGGCATTGCGCACTGGGGCCTGCCCAAAGGCCCCAGCCGTGAGTGGACACAAAGCCCGATCGGATTTACGTGGCACATGCCACCACCTCTCACGGAAAACGCAAATCCCTGAGGGCCAGACCACATGGGAATAGCCACCCAGGCGCCTGGCTAACGCCGCCGCCAGCAGGGCAATGCTGAGACCGAAGGCCGTGCTACACCCAACGACGAGGCCGCGCGCAGCGCAAGCCCCGCCGATAAAGGTTTCGCAACGTCCACCCCCAGGCCCAGTGCCCGCTGCATCCGCACAGAGAGCTGAGGGCCGTGCTACACCCAACGACGGCAGCCTTGCGACATCCCGCCGATACAGGTTTCACAGCGTCCACCCTTCTCTGTGGAAAAAACGACCGGTAGCCGCTCACCCTGACCGCAGATGAAATGCATCGCCCTGAACGGTCTGCCCCGAGGAAGGTGTGGCGCTGGACTCCATGAGAACAGGTGCCAGGCCCCACCCTCGGGGGGGAGGAGGAGGAGGAGGGGGAGGAGGAGGAGGAGGAGGAGGAGGAGGAGGAGGAGGAGGAGGAGGAGGAGGAGGAGGAGGAGGAGGAGGAGGGAGAGGAGGGAGAGGATGAGACTTTGAAAACGGATGTTTTTGTAAGCGACGCGCTGAACACGCGGCTTAACACGTGCCCACGAGCCGAAAAGGGCCGCGGAAGGGAGAGGATCATCAGGTCAGCGGCGGGGCCACTTCGGGGGTTGATGATCCTCTTGTCTTGGCCTGCCACTACAATAAAGAAGGCAGGAACTATCAGCAGGGCACCGTTCGAGTAGGAGGAGGAGGAGGAGGAGTGAGAAATGAGGAGGACATGAGGAGCAGACGGGGAAGGGGACTAGCGCACATATTCGATGTGGGCTCGAAGGTCTAAGTGGCAGCGGCGGCGGCTGGGCAGCAGCTGTCGGGCAGGCCTCGGAATCGTTATCGTTGCTCACCGCCCTGTGCAACTTCTTGACCACTTGGGCTAGGGGGAGGGGCATGCGGAGGACGATGGGCGAGTCCCGAGTCGCCTGCGGGTGACGCCCTGAAAAGGCTTGACTCCGCTGAAAGGGCCTGCCGTTGCCAGGACAGCCTCCTGGGGGGCAGCGCTTCTGGAAGCCTCTGGAGTTTGACTCGCTGAAGGTGCCGCAGCGTCGGCACACCAAAATGCTGAGAGAACTGAAGTCATACAGAGATACAGAGTAGCATATGTATTGTGGCCTTGGGGGTCAGTGATCAGCTCAGAAGGATGGGCACAATTGCCTGTGCAGGCTTCATTCGTGCGATTCTCTCTCGTGCACGCAGAGCGGCACGAGACTCGACAAGCCGCACAAATCCACTTCTGCTCTCCTACCTTGTGCCATCTGTGGACTGCGCTGGTTTGACCGACACGCGGAGCACGAGGGAGGGGGCTCGGGAGGCGAGGAGGGGTCCCCCCGGGACGGTCCAGCGGAAGCTGCCCCAGATGGTGGTCTCAACGACTCCTTTGATGTGTCGAAGGCCTTGCCTCCAGCTCGGGAGGCCACTGTAGGCCAGAGCTGGAAGGCTTGGGAGACAAAACGTACCATCTCAGAGCGAGGAGCTTCGATTGGCAATCTGCAATCTCGATGTCATGGGTGTTTGGCTGGATCCCCTCGCCAGTAGCACGATTGGCGAACCCAGCTGTTTCAGCGTTGCCTTTGGCACGCCTCTCTCTGCTGCCTGGCTCAAAACCCTGAAAGCCTACGTGAGCTGTGCGTTGTGGAGCCCAGGGGGCCAAGGGGGCACGGACGGCCCCTCCAATCACCGTGAAGGCGCTGGAAACATTCCCGCGGGCAGAATGCGGCTGGTGGACATCGCAGGCGTCGTGACAGTCTGAGCGTGTGGGTCAGCATTGAGCGCAGCCGCAGGCACACCGCAGTGCTCGGCAGCAGGAGAGGTGGGGGACCAGAGAGTGCCCGCACGCCCTGAGATGTACGCGAAAACCTCACCATGGCTATATATAAGACGACCAACGCCCAGCCAGCGACACTGTACATGGTGTGTCCGCCTGGTTTCACGCAGGAGCCATCTGTGAAAATGTCCCTTGAAACGCTTCGGCTAGCGACGAGGATAGGCCCCGACACCAAAACCGAGCAGTTTGTTTTGCAGCCGATTCCTGGCGGGGGTGCCGTGTCAAAGTCGGGAGTGGACTAGAAAGCGCCGGCCAAGACTCGGCCAGAGAGATTGGCAATGAGGTCGAGCTCGTCTTCGGAAAACTCCAACTCCTCACGCAGTGCGGCTGTCTTGGAGCACTCCAGCAGTTAGATGCTTCAGATTGGCGCGCAGGTGTCCGCGCTCGCACCCTGGTGAAACTTGGAAGCCTGCAGACATCAGCCAAGCATGCATCCAAATACACTGCGTGACATAGCAGATCAAAACTGACCTGGCCTTTGTCGAGCTTGCTTCCAGCTGTAAGGGCTCTAGCCACTGTGAAGTCGAGGACCTCCTGGGGATCTTCTAACTTGGCGACGACGGGGGACGGGG